CCTGCAGGTGGGCTCGGCCTGCCTGGCGAAGCACAGCGATGGAATCTGGTACACGGCCAAAATAACCGGTGAGTCGTGGCGCAGGCTGTTTCAGCAGGCTGCTGTCCGGGGGCTGAACATGGATGCTTAAGTGAAATAAAAAAGTCGACGGTTTTGTTTGATGATAGAAAAAGGTTGATTAGGTTGCTACAGGTCTAAACTGAAAATTAGAAGTAGTGCCCTGGGCCGAGTGGGGTGTATTCCCACTTTCTTTCTTCCTTTGACTACGTCTGAGGGAACAAGTCTGCCTTCTCTTTATTCTCTCTGCAGCCTGTCTTTTGTTACTTTTGGAAATAATTCTCTAAGTATCAACAGCAGCACTGTGGAAATAGCTCTTCACTTCAGCAAATACTTCTCCCTTCTAGACAGAAATCTTGAGCAAAAATATCCCTAGTTTTCGTTTATACATGTTTCCTGGGTCTCCTTGCTCTATAGCTGAAGCTAACTACTGTAGAGAGCCTTCTGCCTGCTGCGTGTTGTACACTGAGCTCTTGTGCATTTGTGTTTCCTTCTGCAGACATCGACAGTGGCTACTACACTGTGAAGTTTGATTCCCTGCTGCTAAAGGAAGCTGTGGTGGAAGGAGATGGTATCATTCCCCCACTGCGAAGTGAGGATGGCGCCTCCTCTGCTGAATCTGATGAAGACAGCGTTGATGATTCTGGCTATGCTAAAGGTAGAGACTTAAAAAGAGCCTGAGCAAAAACAGCCTGTGATCTCGGTTTGCCTCCTCTCTGGGGGCTGCTGAATTACTCTCCTGGCCTGTAGCTGTCATCACAAGTGTCTGGTCTCTGATGAGAGAGCAGCCTCTTCGTAGGTCGCTGAAAGATAGCAGAGGACATTGAGTATCTGTTATATCACAGTGTCTAACTGCAGTCTATGTTTTCTGCACATTGCTGGGCTAATGAAAGTCGGAGGTTTCCGTGCTGTGAGTGTGTTTGGGTGGTTTTTTTCTTTATTTTTTTCCCTTTACTAGAGGACATTGAGTATCTGTTATATCATAGTGTCTAACTGCAGTCTGTGTATCCTGCACGTTACTGGGCTAATGAGTGAGAGGTTTCCTTGCTGAGAGTGTGTTTGGGTGTTTTTTTTTCTTTATTTTTTTTCCTTTACTGACTGAGTTGAGCTAATAAATAAATCAAAAGTCGTCTTCAGCTCTCTGACAGGTTTGTATAACTCCATGACAGTAATTGGAAGTGTTTGGTGAAGTAGGAGTAACAGCCCTGCCCTGTTTTACTCTCGAAAGCTGACACAGAGGGAGCCCAAATTCCTCCTTTAAGATTATGCTGGCAACACCTTCTCTGTGCTAGTGCCACAATTACTTCACAGGCACAAAGCTGTGTCCTAGAGCTCTTTAAATTTAGCCTAATTGAGATTATTGGATGCTAATAATACAAAGTTAGCATAATGGCCTAGAGGAGCCTCATACTAGGGTAAAGGTGTGCAATGATATTTCCCATAGATTCAGTGCTAAATCTTAACTGTAGTGTATGTGAAGGAGGTGGAAACATCTCTGGATACTTCTCTCAGGAGCTATAAGATCATATGTGCAGTAAATCACTGTCTAGTGAGGAGTTTTCCTGTTGTGTGGGCCTGCCCTGCCTCAGCTGAAGGTTTCACACCGCGGCTCTGTGTTTCGCTGATCTTTCTCCTCTGTGCCACAGTGATAGACTCGGGCGTCCCAGAAAACGGGGAGTGGACTCCAGCTTGCAGTTCCTCTTTCGGTGGCTGGGAAGCCCATACTCGTGGCATTGGCTCCAAGCTGCTCATTCGGATGGGATACGAGTTTGGAAAAGGTAAGGGGAGAAGGTGAGCCAGGTGGTGTGAGGGTTTATTTATTTTATTTATTATTTCTTTGCCTGCCTTGCAACCTTAGTCTTCATGATCAATCCCAGGGGCTGGTTGCAAAGAACAAGATTTTGCATGAGGCTAAAAGTCCTTTGCTGAAGGGTCTGTTGGATGAGGCCGGGACTGTGTGATGAATCACACGTATGTGGAAGTATTAGAAAGTGAGAGGGGTTATTTCATCTAAGTAGAGGCACATGTATGCACCAATACCTGTATGGCAGTAGCAAAAAATAGCCACATTTAGAGCCATGGTCAAGCTCATGATTAAAGCCGTGAGAACTGTTGTGTGTTCAAAGGCTTTAGGTAGAAGGGAGCTGATCTACGAAGCTTCTGATGTCTGTGTTAAAGCACTGTCTGGCCCTAGAGAGACTGCAAAGCCTGCTGAGCGAGCTGCTCACTATCCAAATTGTACCAAGCCTCGGGGCTTTAGGACACTAGTCTGCTCCTTGCTTTAGACTCTAGTTTGTGCGGAGGAACCGAACCAGTTTTAAGGAGAACCTGGCTGTAGAAGCTGAGAACGTGAGGCTGAGCCTACACGAACTGGTCTGGCCGAGGGAACGGCCTTGGGCTTTTTATCACTTATCTTCTGCTGCAGAAGCCTCTTGTCATAGCAAGCATCACAGATGTCTGTGGCCCTTGCTCCCCACCCCTCAACAACGCTGATGGTAGTTAAGACTTTGTACCTCAAAGGCCAAATGCTTGTTCTGAGCTCGTGACCGTCAGTTGCAGTTTGTGGTGACGGGGGTGGCTTTGTGTCAGGGCCTTCGCCTTTCCTCACAGCTTCTCCCCCTCAGGTTTAGGGAAGAATTCCGAGGGCCGCGTGGAGCCGGTGCAGGCCGTAGTGCTTCCTCGAGGGAAGTCCCTCGACCAGTGTGCAGAGGTGCTCCAGAGGAAGCAGCAGGGCAGGCTGGACGCCAGGAAACCCAGGAAATGCCAAGGGAAGGGGAGCAGCGCGGGCCAGTCCGGCACGCGTGGCCGCAAGCCTCCCCGCAACGTGTTTGACTTCTTGAATGAGAAACTGCGGGGAAAGAGCACCGGAGAGAAGGCTGGAGGGGCAGCGCTGCCAGAGAGGAACAGCAAAGAGATTTACCATGCCAGCAAAAGCACCAAGAAGGCCCTGAGCGTCCGGCTCTTCCAAACCATGGAGAAGATTGAACAAACGCAGAAGGATATCAGAGGAATCCAGCAGGCTCTGGCGCGCAACGTTGGACGGTAGGAAAAAAAAATCCTCTTTGGGCTACAGGAGGAGCTGGTCATGCCTGGCCCTTCTGGAGAGGGATGGGCTTCAAATCAGGTGTCGCAGCAAGAGATGAAGCACGTTTGGGTGAGATGGCAGGGGAGGTAGAGGACAGAGCCTTTAATATGGTCCTCAGACAGCTCGGTCATGAGCACATTTGTCTTGGATCCTTTGGGTGGAATTCAAGCTGTGGAGAGAGGAGCTTTCTGCAGACTGGACTCCTTCCCTGCCCATCTCCTGTGTTGCTGACGGGTGTCTTGGGAAGATCTGTGTGTTTTCCAGCTCCGGCTGTGCTGAACACCAGGCAGTTTTCAGTCACTCGCACCAATCCCGTAGGAGAGGGGGTCCCTCCCAGGATGAGAGCAGCCCTTTGCTCTTGGCGCTCGGGATGACGTTGTTTTCTCACGTTCTGCTTTCAGGCACAGCGTCGCTGCGGCGCAGCTGGAGGAGAAACTGGCTAATGCTCACAAGCAGCTGGGGCAGCTGCAGGCCCAGGAAGCCAGTCTGCAGCGGGAGCAGAAGAAAGCAGACACCCACAAGAAGATGACTGAGTTCTAGGCTCCGAGGAGGGCGTCGGGCTGCAGTGCTCATCCCTCTTGGCAGGTCCTGGGCCAGCCACCCCACTCCTCTGGGCCGCAGTCTGTCCAGCTTGAAACTGGGCTGAAAAGCAGCAGTTTTACCAAAACTAGATGCTCCTGAGCTTGGCTCTCCTGGGATGGGGGGGAAAAGGAGCCTCTGTCCAGCCCTGAAAGCGTTCGTAAGCTCGAGCCTTGTGTAAGGCCTGGCTGCAAGAAAGGTGACTCCCTGCTCGCTTGCAGCCTTCTCTGCTCTCTTATCGCTGCGGCGGTGCCTGCAGTCAGATTGTGCAGCTCCTGGGGTGATAACGGTGCCGGCTGCGCCCCAGCGAGAAGGGGCTTTGAAGCCCCACATCCTGCAGCAGCTGTGGCTTGTGCTTGCAGCAGCCACGGAGCGTTTGCAGGTGGGGGCAGGGTCCCAGGCACCCTCTGGCAGAGCAGAGAAGGCAGGTACCTGTGCCCGGTGACAGCGGCAACAGCCGAGTGCTGCGAGTGCTCCCTCCCTGTGCTGCCTGCGAGGGGCTTCACGGATCTGTTCAGAGTAGCTCCTCGCAGCCCTGCTGCAATGAGCAGGGGGAAAACGGCAGCTTGGAGGTGAGCACCAGCAGTCTCAAGCAATATATTTCTTCAATCTCAGCTGTACCAGTATCCCTAGACCATGTTGTGGCCAAAACCATTGATTTGGCCTGGAGAGTTGCATTATTCCTCAAGTAGCAGGTCAAAACTGAGGAGATAAGACAGGGTGTGAGAGCCTCAAACCTCCTAGCCAGGAACAACTCTGCGGGGAACCTCACGCTTCTGCCATCATTACTTGAGTTTTCCTGTGCTAGATGGTTTGTTGACCACAGGTTCCCTTTAGATTGAAGACAGTAACCTCGGGATGTAGTCCTGGGTCAGGCTGGGCCTTGGCTGAGTGCAGGGCTCAGGAGGGGTCTGTGAGTGCAGCCCTCGCTGAGGAGGAGCGTGGGGCTCCGCGGGAGGAAGGCCGAGCGAGCAGGGCGCCCTTCCCTGCAGCAGGAGCAGCCCTCGGGCAGGAAGGCCGTGCTCTGCGGGGGTGGCAGCCTGCCCATGCCCCAGAGGAGATGGTGGTTCCAGCAGGCTCTTCCTGGTGGGACTTGTTAATAATTTCATGCCAGTATCTTTAGGATGCATTTTCTTTCCTTAAGTTTAAAAAAAAAAAACAAAAACTCATTCCTTTTATTCTGTGAGTCATTTTTTTTCTAATGAAAAGTTTTTCATGCTACTCTTTTTTTTATCTATTTTCGAGAAAATTAAAAAGCTGTCGATCTGGGCAGGGCTTCCTTTCCTTACAAGGGCCGAGCCTGTCTGATTCACTGCCAAGCTAATCAGAAAATCTAAGGCTGCAGGAGATACGATCAGGGTTGTCATGTGTGATTTAGCATTACTGCAGACACAGCTCAGAAACCACAGAGCAACAGCAAAATGAAGCAAGAAGAGAAACGTCTTCAAGAAATCTGTAGTAGCGACTCTGCTGCTGGAGAGCCCTTGGGTCCTGCTCCGTCGGGCACCAACGTGCCAGCTCTGTGGCAGGTGGGAAAGGTGACATGTCCCATGGCAGCAGCCATCGGCTCCATGCCTGCACTGCCCATTCCCGTTTTGTTGCTCTGCATTCGCGTTCTCCACACAGCAGGCTGAACTCAAGGGTTTAACAACGCTCATTGAGTGCCCTTCCCTCCAAACGACTCTGTTTCCCGTGTCCAGGCGTTGAGCGATGACAAGGACCGATGTCGGGCTGTGCCCGACTCGGCGCGGGCGCTTGCTGAGGCAGCCCGTGCCTGGCGAGCCACGTTATGCAGAGAAGACTTTTAGTTTTGCTTTGTGTTCTCACCTTACTGGGAGTCTTTTTTTACTCTGTAACACCCAGGCGTACGAGCCCCGTGTCCTGGCTGAGCTGCGTTTTGCTCAGTGGAAACATCCACAGCGTTGCTTGTCCAACTCCCCGTTGAAACAGCCGCCGCATCCCGCCTGCGCCACCGAACATCCCGCTGAATAAAGCGATTGTTTTATTTCTTTCCCTGCGTTTCCCAGGCTCCCATCATTAGAGAGGCAGCGTCCGCGTGGCACGGCCGGCGCTGCCGCTGGCACCAGAGCGGCGCGGGCAGGAGGGGGAGGCGCGGAGGTGCCCCCGGTGCCTGCCCAGCCTGTTTGCAGCGCCGGGCGGGGAGGAACCGCCTGCGCTGGGTGCAGCGGCCAGGAAGCGAGCGCGGTGCCGGAGCGCGTGGCGCACGGAACCCTCCGGGACCCCGCGCCGGGAAAACTGCCGGAGAAAGGAGCCGGATTCTCCAGGGGGATCGGCAAGGAAGAGGGGATGGTTGGATTGCTGCGCCTCCTGCTCGCCGGCTTTTGAGCTTCTGCTAAGTAAGTGGTGGTTGTTCTCTTGCCTTGCAAACGCGGGGATATGCAGCTAAACTAGGGGTTGGAAACTGCTTAAAGGTTCCCTGTGGAGTTGCAGCAGTGTCGGAGATGCTGTTGCAGCTAGTCAGGCTGGAAGGGCAGGATTCCTCCTCCGTGGTGTCCAAGTATCCCCTGGATTATTTACCAAACTCCCAGTCAGTGCACAGAGCGATTTACTCGTTGGTCACCCCAAAGTTCCTGGGCTGAGAGAGGAGGAAAAGGCGCTCGGGTTTGGCTGGGATCGCACGGATCTGATCTGGAAGTGGAGCGGGAGCTGCTTGCTCTCCTGGTGAGCTCGCTGCTGGCCTCGGATTTGTGGGACACCCTTCTGTCCCCACCAGAAAAAGGGAAAAATAACCTACTGATTTCGGAGGACTATGCTTTTTTATGGTCTTTGAAACATTGTTTTTGGAGACCTGAAATTGTGAATAACTGCTGGTTTCGTGGCAAGAGAAGTGCTGTGGCAGGAGGTGATTCAGGGTGGAGGGGAAACCTGTGTCCATAATGCCCTCACTCCCTGTTTCGGAATCCGGCTTTCTATAAATTCCTCTATAAATGCAGCGCTGAGGACTCACCAGAGCTTGCACCCTGCTGCAACTTATCTCTGTCGAAAAAAAACATCCCGCAGTTCCTCTGCTGGTGCTTAGATGTGCACTTTTTTGCCAAAGTGGGTCTGTTTTCGGCAAATACAGAAAGGCACAAAGGAAAAAAGGTGCTGAAACAATTTCAGCCTCAACTGAAGCCACGTAGCAGGAACGGAAGAGTCAAAACCTTAAGGCAAGTTTTCTCTACAAGCCAGTCCAGCACGAGTAGCAATGGGGCCTGTCATTACGAGCATTGTGTGTCCCAGTTTTGTGACATTTGGGCCTTCAGAAAGGTATTTGGTCCTTTATAAACTAAATAACTAAACTCAATCGGAGTTTAAGCACGAAATGGGTCCCTTCAGAGACAGCTTTCTCCTGCTGCCGAAACGCAGGTGTAGCGAGACCTTGTTCCTCTTCCACGTTGGAAATATTTTTTAAGATTTAGTGGTTACGTCCTAGTGTTTAGGGCAGGTTAAACCTTGCTGACGTAACTGCAACAGGGCTTTCGGTTTTTGTGATTGTTAAAAAAAAAAAAGAAAGAAAGAAAGAAAAGGTTGAAAAAAACCAGCCCCAAAAAGAGGTCGTTTCTCCTTCTTGAGCCACTTTACTCGCAGACCTCCCCAGGGCGCCCAAGCTGGGTCTGCTGCAGCCACATCCACAATCTCTGCTGGAAATCGGCCTGCACCGTCTGCCCTGCTTCCCTGCCGAGGTGGTTTTAGCAGTTTTGTGGCCTGTTTTTCCTTGTCATTCCGCACTGGATATTGTGTGCCCGTTTCGCTGAATTGGAGGCCAGGCAGAATTGATAGTGGTGGAACTTAAATTTACATCAAATTCAATCTTATTGTCAGGGGCCTAGCTGAAAAAATTAAGTTCAAACGAAGACGTTTTAGGGTTTTTTGTTGTTGTTAGAGGGACTTTTGAAAGCTGCCGAGTCGCAGAGCCCATGAAAGCGGGCGCCCGGGGCGGCGGTGCCGCGGGCAGGAAGCTCATTTGCACGTTTCAGTCTGTTTAAAACTCAACCTTGCAAGCCTCGACCGCGTGACTTGGCTGAACTGGCTCCGTTTTAGTGATCTGGAGCAAATTCAGCCGCGCGCTGGGTTTGGGTCTCCAGCAGCCGCCTGCGTTGGGGTGATCCGGATAATTAGCGAATGCTCAGGCGGAAAAGCGGCGCTAATTAAAGCGCCCTCGAAGGGAGAAGCCATCTCTGATCTAAGCCAGTCTGCCCGGGCTGGTTAGTCCCTTCAACCCGTCTCTGATTCCACACTGAAATAATTGCTCTCCGGGGACTCTGGCAGCAGGGAAGGACCCAAAGGTGTGGGAAATTCTCCGGTAAACCAGTGCGGCGGGTGAGCAAAGGCGGCTCCGGGGTTGGGTGACGATGGGCCGAGGGCGCTGGAGGGCACGCGGAGGGGAGAAGAGCAAGATTGATCGATCCCTCCTTCCATCCCTCCTTCCATCCCTCCCTCCACCACGGGGTGGATGACACCTCCCCACTCTCCTCCTTCCCGGGGTCCTTCCCCGCTCCCGATGCTGCAGCGGGAGGGAGAGGAGCCCGGCCGGGGGGACGCCGGGCTGCGTATCTGGGCATGGGGCCCCCGTGCAGGAACCCGCTCTCAACGCGCAGAGGAGGTTCAACAGCCAGAGCTGGGGCAGGGAAGTCCCCGCGCTGTCCCCACGGGTCCTGGTTGTCGTGCGAGGGCCACGCGAGGCAGGTTGGGGCTAGAGCCGGTTTCCTGCTGTGGTTCCGTAGGATATTTGCCATTAGGACACGGCCACCTTGTCTGGCTCGGTTACGGCATCTACCTGGAGCCGTGTTGTGCTCCCGTGTTCACCAGGCTGCAATCTGCCTCTGTCTCACTGTTGGCTGCACGGGGAAAACTTTGGATTGAGACATTTTCCGCACAAGGGGTTTAGTCGTGCCCCAGCTTTTCCGGAGGCTAAGGGCTGAGCACTGAGTGCTGCCTGAAAGGCTCAGGGACAGAGCTGCCGCTGTTGTCCCTGCTTGGCTCCTCT